CAACGTGGCAAGTGGTCAATAGTTATGTCAACTGTTAAACTTGGGACTAAAATAAGGGAGGGATTTAACAAAATAAAATTGTGGTATGTATTTACCACGGCAATTGAAGATTAACTACATAGTCTAGTTGCTTACATAGGTCGGGTTTCTCCCGCCGTATGTAGGATGCTTCCATGTAAAGTAAGTTCCGGTTTTTCGTGCTCGAACAAGAACGCGGAAAGATGTGTTAGTGTAAACGGAGTGACTGAGTGTTTTGTTATAGATGAACGTGGTACTTTGTTCTCCTGTTTTAAAAGCCAAGTAGGCAAATGTTCAGCAGCCCTGGTTGTCAATTGCCTTTGCGTACGACCAATTTACTTGCATCCGCAAGTGAATTCGTATACGCAATTTGAGGTGGCGTGCAAAGGCAAGGCTTCCTTTGGCCGGTTAATTGGGAGCCTAGAAGTTGGAGTGAGGAAGACAAGTTCGGCTGCATAGTAAGTTCTTTGTATGGAACAAAGTAGTCTTAGTTTAATTGTATTCGCGATGTTGTCTCCTTTAAATGGTAATGATATAAAAACGGGCTTTCTCGGAACCGACTGGTCCGTAGATTTTGTCCGTAAAGGGCTGCTGTATTTTCGGATGAAACGCAAGAGGTAGCCACGCTTGAGTAGGGCCTCTTTTATGCAGGCAAACTCTGCTGGTAGGGTCTCACTGGAGCAGATATTCCTAGCTCTCTCTGGAAAAGGTTAAGTACCAAATTCCTTTTCCACTGTATAGGCATAAAAACTGGTAAAATGTAGATATTGGCCTTTCCATGTAGTCTTGTGGAAAACGGTGCGCCTTATTGACCCATCATCCTCTCTGAACAGGAGGACGTATAGGAAAGATAATTAGTTGCTCTGCTCCATTTCTATCGTGAACTTAATCTTTTGCTGCAATGTATTCATCAAAGTTAGAAGATTTTCAGCATCTCTTTTGGTATCAACAATAGCGAATATGTCATTCACATATCGTCTATATACTGTTGTTTTATTAAGTTCCGATGAAATCTTTTCCTCTACATGACCCATGAAGATGTCTGCAAAGGTAGGCCCGAGTGGGCTCCCCATTGCTACTCCATCAATTTGTCTATATATATAACTCCATTAAAGAGAAGTTGTACGTTCTTCGTACAAATCGTTAGCAAGTCCCTCAGTATATCAGGTGGCAGTCGAGTTTCTGATGCATGATTGCATATGACCTCAATTGTTTCCTCCAAGGGCACATTTGCAAATAATGACTCAACATCTAGAGAAAACATAAATTTGTTTGTAATATTTTGGAGCTTGATATCTTCAATAAATTGAAAAACATCCTTTGAAGCATAAGTGACGAATCGTTGCCGAATTGGCTTTAATTCGTTGAG